ATTAGTTTGATGAGTTCTCACATGCCTTTTCAGACCTTTTTTATCGGTGAATCGCTTATGGCAGTGATCGCATTTATGCGGTTTTACTCCAGTATGACTCTTCTTATGCCGAAGCAAATTAGATAAGCAATTGAATCGTCTCTGACATTGACTGCATTGATGTGGTTTATCTCCAGTATGCGTTCTCATATGATTCACTATTGCATTCTTTCCAGTGGTAACATACTTTTTCTTATTTTCATCTCTGTTACAAATATAGCACTCGAATCGACGTGTTTTACAATCTCTTTCGTGTGCCTCTTTCTCTGTGATTTGCGAAAATCCACGAAAACAACCGGAACAGTGGAACAGATCATCTTTATGAGTCCTCATGTGTCTTTTAAGTTCACATTTTGTTCCGAATCGTTTGGTACAAAGGTCACATTGTTGCGGTTTCTCTCCGGTATGAGTTCGAATATGCCTATCGAGTTTGCTTTTCTTAATAAATCGTTTTTCGCAAAGATCACATTGATATCGTTTGTCTCCCGTGTGAGCTCGAATGTGATCGTTGAGATAACTCTTAAGACGAAATCGTTTCAAACAATGATTACATTGATACGGTTTTTCTCCAGTGTGTGTCATCATATGAGTTTTAAGATTACATCTTTTTACGAATCGCTTCTGACATTGATCACATTGATGCAGTTTTTTTCCTTCGTGAGTTTGAGTATTGCCAGGTTTCGAGACTGCTCCAATTTTGTTATTTGATCGCTGAATATTCGATTTCTTCTTTTTGTTTTGTCCACCTGCTTCTCCATTAAACTGTTCTTTTTCCTTGTTTTCTTTCCCCTTATTATTTTGGAAAACCCATTTATCAAGAGTCATTTGACAACTTGCCACATTTTTAGCTGCATTTACTTCACTAACAGCTTCTGAAACATTGTAATCTAAATTGTTATCCTCTTCGTTGGTCACTTTTGCATTTCTTTTATCACCCCTTTCTCGGATCGTATTTTTCTTCGATGCTCGTAATCTGTTTCTATATGGATTATTAGCATTTGTACGGTTGTTCTCATCACTTTCAATTGAGGTATTCGGTGAATTTGATCGTTCACGTTTGATACCCTTGTCTTTGTTACAATTTTCGTCTTTTTCGATTTTAACACGTTCAGGGCTACAAACGACCATCAGTTGATTGGCTGGAATACGAACTATGGGAATCTCCTCATTTTCCATTTCATCTTCTTCTTTTGGCTCAACATTTGGTATCTCTCCGTCTGAAGGTTGATCACCGTTTTCATCATTCTCAGTTTTAATCTCATGATCAACATCACTAAGAGCAATCTCACCAATTACTTCCGTTGTGTTAGCCGTTTCATCATCACTAATTTCAATGATCGTGTTCAAACCGTTTTTTCCGCTTGAAATTGAAGATCTTACCGAAGAATTTTTTGATCTTTGAATACTTCCATTTCGACTTTTATCGAATGACGTGTCACTTTTAAATTTGGAATAAATCTCCTTCAACCTAAACAATTATAATAAAAAAGAAATTATCATATACGTCACCTCTCATTTAGAACAAATTAAACTCCAAAATTAAAACGAAAAAGCGAGAGTAAATTACCTATCCTTAGCACGATCTAGACAGTATTTCCAATCTGCTTGATGGAAAGATTGACCTGATTGTTCACAAAAATTGCTTATATTTTGCAACGAAAATGTCGCTTGGCGTTCAATACCATTCAACATTTTTTCTAATTCTCGCGTCCAATTATTCGTCGGCATTTTTCAACAGTTTTTCCACTGAATTTGAAGAGAAGATTTTTGTACGTTAGCAGATAAAAGCAATATGGTCAATAACATTAGTCAAAATTGATGGAATACAACAAAAAACAGTTGAGTGTTTTTTCAATTCACTTGAATTTCTCGAGTTGTTTTTAGAACGACAAATTCCGTAAGACTAACTGAACATCTCTTTTTTCACTTTTAATTATCTTTGAAGATTTAGAATTTATTTATTGCAACGAATAAAGCATACAAATTGCAACAAAAGTCATTTGGCAAATACAGACCCTTATATGACCCATTGTATCCGTTTATTATTTGTGGACTTTGGATCTAAATTAAGTAATAAGTATGCAAGAAATGTGTTAGGAGCGAGAAAACATTTTGTGAGCACTAATAAAATGGTGATGGTAAAAAAAAACGAAGACATTTTTGTGGAATTTTTTTCTCTTTTTCTACGATTCTACTAACGCTATCAGTATAAAACTTGCATTTTTATCCATACTGGTCACAAATACAGCGCATGTATACGTACAACTCATATTTGGTACATATTCAAACAAAAGCGGATCCCATAGTATTTCATACCTGGACAAATATTGAATTATGTTACAAATCATTGTACTTCAAGATGACATCAAAACGTTCAATGTGAAAAATGTGTTTATTTAGCTTAATTGATTGTCGTTTTATGAAAACTTACCAATTTCAAGTTAACCTAATAACGAAATGTAATTACTTTAAAATGATGTTTTCAACATTATCTATTTTACAAAAATAATTTCATTTATTTTGAATATTTTTATCATGATCGCAAAATACATTATTAACATAACTGTGGTAATTTTCTACTTTTATAGAAAAAAGAGAAATATAAAACGGTGACTTTTTTCAATTAAACTTGAATAGCTTCAGTTCTAGCAAAAGTTACAAGGATATTTGCTTTGATTTTGCATTTTATACAGTATCTTATGGGGCATAATTTCGGTGAGGTGTACGCTTTACACCCTTGTCAATGTTTTCATTGTTACAATTTTCGTCTTTTTCGATTTTGACACGTTCATGACGATTTTGACACGTTCATCATTTTCCATATCTTCCTCTTTTGGTTCGACATTCGGAATCTCTCCATCTGAAGGTTGATCACCGTTTTCATCATTCTCAGTTTTAATTACATTTACAAAAGGAGTCTCTCTGAACGTTTGGGACCTTGTGTTGGGTGATTCATCTGAATGTTTCCACTCTTATCGAATGACATTTCAGATTTAAATTTGGAATAAACTTCATTCAACCTTAAAAATATATGAACAAAAAATTATCATATTAGCCGTTAACTAGAAGAAATTGAATACAAAAAAAGAAGTGGAGAGTCAATTACCTATCCATTGCACGTTGCAGTCAATATTTTTGATGTGCTTGATGAAATGATTCACCTGATTTCTCAAAGCTGCTTTTTATAGTTTGTAAGGATATTGTCGCCTTGTGTTCAATGTTTGACAACATATCATCGAGTACTCGCGTCCAATCATTCGCAGACATTTTTTTACCAATCTAAAAGCACATAATAATGCATTAACAGACAAAATTTCGTTGCTTCAGGGAGTATTATATACAAAATGCAAAACTTACAGTTGATAACTGAAACACAAAATTTGTTTTCCCAAAAATATCCTCACTTTTCCCCACTTTTTATAGTGTACTATTTCTTGTGGAAATATAAATCAAAATGTTCATTAACAAAATACGTTTTTAAATAGTGCATTGAAATTAATTCAAATGATAATAGATTTGCAATGTGTTCGACGGTAGAGATAGACAAAATTAATTTAGTAAATATGAATTGAAAACAATTAAAAACAAACAATAATGCGTTTACATCATCGGGACGATACAACAACAATAACCATAAACTTTTAGAGTCGGATAAAAACTATAAAATTTTGACAGGTGATTCACTCTTGTCGTTCTTTATCTCGGGAATTCTTGTTTACTTTGAATTTGTTCTAGATGGGTAAATTTAAGTATTCAGTTAAAAGGATTTTTCTATGATATAAAATCATTAAAACATTTTTTACTTTGAACCCACTATTTCGGAGCATTTTTTATTAATTCTTTCTTTTGTTTCTACACTTGTTATATACTAATGATCTTTTACGATCGTCATCATAAAACTTGAACGTTTGATTTTTTTATTTTATGTCAAAAATAATCTTTTTTTTTATGTTTATTATCGAATTAATTTTTTTCTTTTTTTCTATTTTCTCTCATTTTAATATGAAGTATCAACAGATTTCAAGTATCATTTCGCAACATAAAACCTTTCAATGTGAAACATCATTGGAATACGCCAAAGAAAACCTATCAAATGTTTTATCATGACACTGGCAAGTTGCTTCGTATTGAGCGAATTCGCCATCGATAAAAACTTCTTCGTGGTTTGACAGTCTTCCAGCTGTCACTTCGTACACGAGTAACATAATTTTCCCATTTCTCTTTTTGATACTAATTTGATGGATTGCCTAGCTTTGATTCGATGTTGGCTCATGTATTCCGTCAAAAGTGATTATGCTGACCCAAAGTGCTGTGAAAATCGTAACTTTTCAATCAATATTTATGTTTAGGCATTGTTTACCGGTATTATTGTGGCCGTGAATTTGAATTTTCATTGAAAATATCCCGTTTGAAAGCAACAAAACTTCAACATTTTATTTAAATCATTAACATAATTTTTGCTAATAGAGAAAACGAAACAAAATAAAAACTAATTAAAACACAAACGATTTCTATTCGCACATTCAACGTTAAAGACATACATTAAAGTGTAAACATTTTATTAAAAAATTTTTTTAAATGTCTATTTGCTTGTGAAATTGCCGTGATGTCATCCGTGGTAAGAATCTCAACATAGAAAAAAATTAAAATAATGTATTTTATTGGCGATTAAGCGAAAGTGAAAATGATCGGATTGTTTGTGTGCCCAGCCAAGTGAATGAAATCGTTTTCAAATGAGTCAGTATAAATGTGTGTGCAAATATGGCAAATAGTTATACTCACATGCTTGGCCTATAAATACGATACAAATTTGTGTATATCGTTGTGTATCGCAATGTATTGTGTTTTTGGCATTTGGCGTAGTTCTCACATTGCTCATTGGCATTGAATATATACATAATACATAGAAAGAGAAAGAGGGAGAGAGAGAGAAAGTGGCACAATAAAGAATAAGTTACCTAATGGAATACTCATTTAGAGACATTTGCGACTTTTTCACTCGCATTTGTCTGTATTTTTTTGACTCAATTATTTAAAATGACAATAAATCCATATATTTTTCATTGTTTATCGCTTACGCATATAAAATATTACTCGTGTCAATTGCCATTTATCGCATTTTTTTTAACAATTTGTGATTGAACATTTTTCGAACTTTGTACGCTAATGTTTGCATTTCTATATAGATGTCATCGTCATCTGCCGACGAAATTATCAAAAAATGTCACGACGTTGGCGAAAAATTGCAGACTGAAAGCGGTAAAAATGTAAACACAGCTGGTCACCATCACACAAACATAAGTAATCATCAGGTGCATTATCTGCATGAGCTGCCACTTGCGGCTGAAAAGAGATACGAAATGTTGTTCAGTCAATTGGATCGCAACGGTATGAAATTAAACGCAAATAAAGTTTTATTGATAAATCGATTCAATTTTATTTTTATTTTTTGTTTCAAAGGCAATGGTCAAATTGATATTCATGATTTGTCTGAAGCACTCAAGGACATTCATTTATCCCAGCAATATGCTGAAACATTTTTACGACAAACAGACACAACGAACCGTGGTCATGTAAATTTAGCCGAATTTATTCATTATGTTCGCGAACACGAAAAGAATCTGTTGCTACATTTCACACATTTGGATAAAGATAAGGATGGCAAAGTGAATTTGAATGATTTGATAATTGGATTTAAAGAGCTGGGAATCGAAATTGATGACAACGAAGCATTACAACTCCTAAAACGTGTTGACCAAAATGATACATTAATCATTAGCTATGACGAATGGAGAGATTTTTTGCTTTTAGCACCATCCCTTGACATTCATCACATCATCAACTTTTGGCGACATTCTACCTATCTCGATGTTGGTGAAGACGTGTATGTGCCTCAAATCGCAAGCGGTTGGAGACATTTGGCGGCCGGTGCAGTGGCCGGTGCCGTTTCGCGTACCTGCACAGCGCCATTAGATAGATTAAAAGTCTTTTTACAAGTTCAAACGAATCGAGTTCGAATTGTCGATAGTTTTAGATATTTATTAAATGAAGGTGGTGTGCGGAGTTTTTGGCGTGGTAATGGCATCAATGTTATGAAAATTGCACCCGAATCAGCGCTTAAATTTGCCGTGTACGAAAAGGTTAAACGACTCATCAGACAAAATGAACAGAAACAACTTAGCATCTATGAAAGGTAAGCCACATCTATTTTATTTGACAGATTTTTAACATAATTAATTTTCAATTCAGATTTGTAGCCGGTGCATGTGCTGGTGGTGTGTCTCAAACAATTATTTATCCTTTAGAAGTATTGAAGACCCGCTTAGCTTTAAGAAAAACCGGCCAATACAAGGGTATTTCTGATGCGGCGTTAAAGATCTATACAAATGAAGGCATCCGAAGTTTTTATAGAGGCTATTGTCCTAATATTTTAGGTAATTTCATTGTCATTTTACTCGCATATTAAATCAGCAATTGAAACAATGTATTTTTAAATACTTTCGGCTATTAGGCATTGTACCCTACGCTGGGATCGATCTGGCTGTTTATGAAACTCTCAAGCGGAAGTATTTAAAGAAACACGAAAGTGATGACGAACGACCTAGTTTTATGGTTTTACTTGGTTGTGGTACTGTGTCAAGTAGTATCGGTCAAGTAAGTATTGATATAAACGGAAGTTAACACTTTCATCGATTTTTAATGCTTGGGCTAATATGTGATTTGTTATTTTTAGCTATGCTCATATCCATTGGCACTTGTCCGAACTAGACTACAGGCTCAAGTTATCAACAACAATACGCAATCAGTTGTACGTCCGCGGGAGCAAACGATGACTACCATCTTTAAACACATCATCGAAACAGAGGGCATCCCTGGACTATATCGCGGTATCATTCCGAATTTCATCAAAGTGCTGCCCGCCGTTTCGATAAGTTATGTCACTTATGAATACACCAGCCAAGCGCTGGGTGTTAGCATGTCGTGAAAAGGAGTTCAAGTGATTTCAATCTATATTGTTTAAATGAGAAACATATTTAGTCGACAAATACTTCCCTAGCGAATGCAAAGTGTGGATACTACTCCTACAGCAATAAGACTCGTGCAAATAATTACTATCTGCTCAAAATGTAGTTAAATATCTAACTATCTCAAACAATTATTTTCTTTTTAAACCAAAACATGGTAAAGACAAAAAAAAATAGCTCGAAATATTAACAGTTCGTTTGAAACACTACTACGTGTTCTCGATAATCTTATGCAAAATACGAAAACGCTAGATAGATCTATAAAAAAACAAAAGAAAAACGGAGAAAGACATTATTAAAAGGAAACCTGGAAGATAATACGTTCTTTTGAATGTATCGAAATGACTTCATCTATAGCAACTAATATTTATTAAATTACTACAAAATATTTACTCGAAGGAAACAACAACATTTTGAACCAATTCGATTGCTTTGTATTTCTCCTTTTTTCACTTTTTATGTTATTTATTTTTGTTTTTTGCTTTAAATTTGTATTTAAAAAAATGAACATTTTACATTAATTCCACTGTAAATTAATTGTATGCAGCAGAAATAATTGAGTAAATTGACTGTGACTCTACTGTTTGCCATGCCTTAGCTGTGTGCGTGTTGTTTTTCTTAATTTTTTTAATTTGACATCAGTTCAAGATTTGAGCTGCGAATCCGAATTTCGGTAGTATTTGTGATAAAATAAAAACTATTATTAACGTTTATTTATACTTTCACGAATAAACGAATTCACCATTGTCCGTGCTCTCTACAGCATTGTTATTCTATCAAACTTACACATTTTTCCTGGACAAAGTAATGCATTATACAAAAGAGCTAGAATACAGAGCTTGGACCTTGGTTCAACAGATTGATCATAATACATTACAACGTGAATCGAATGGCGTTCGATTCGCTGAAACACATGTCTATCTTCAAAATAAATAACAACAGATCAATTTTCTTCTATATTTTTTCTTCTTCCATAGATTGTTGTAGACTCTAATTAACTGAATCTTTCGATCTACATAAGAAATACACAATAAACTCTTGCACTGTTCAACAATGAATATTTGTTTCTTTTTTCATATGATGACCTTTCAATTGATACAGTGTGTAAAGTGATCAGTGATCACTGCAGACTGTCGAGGCAGAATTTGCAGTGAATAACAAAAAATAGACGAAACGCAGTATTTTTGTTCATTAAAGTTAACCAGTTTTTACGAACGGAACACGTTGATAACATTTTTTTTTTGTTTCAGATAAATAAATAAATATGGTACAATGTGGATATTATTATACATCGAGCACCAGTTCGTGTTATCTGCTTACACTATTTACATTTTAATATCATCATTAAATTGTTTAATTGCATCATCTGCTTTTCAATTTTAAATTAAATTTTTTAATTAAAGAATCGAAATATCTTATCACATACACATATTGATTCACATGTTTTATCTTTATATTGTTTGCGCAATGTGTCATAATTACCTTTATTAAATCCTTTTCAATATTTTATTAGTTTTTTTTTCTTTCAATTTTTAATTCAATGCGATTATGAAGAGAACAGTTTGCATTCTTTGTAACGACGATTAATCAGGCCCTGATTTACCTTTCCACCAGCTTTTCTCCACGTCTTTAGTTGGCTGCATACTACATTTTTGTTGCCTTCATTTAATTTTCTAACTAAAGTGGAAGACGCAGCGTTACCACAACCAACATTGTATGCCCACGAAGTAAGTGCACCAAATTGATTATCCGTAAGTGGTTTTTTCACAAGTCGACCAATACAATTAGTGGCCGTTTTGATATCAGATTTAAGAAGTTGTTCGCCTTGTTCTTTCGAAATGCACGATCCCGCTTTGAAGCCATCTCTTGACACAATTAGATGTCCATAACCGATTGTTAATTTATTGGCAACGTCTTTATATGTACAAGCCCTCCATCCTTCTACTTCTTTAATTAAATTAAGACTTTTTGCATTTAAATCTCTGGCTGCAACCACGGTCACTGCAATTACCAGTGTGCAAGCGGAAATGTGAGTTTTCATCTTATAAAAAATTACAGAACTTTTGTAATCTAATATGACAATTAAAAAAGTTATTTATTTTCAATACTCACTCTGTGGCGACTTTCTCTTGAACTTAGGGCTATAGCGAATATGTGAACCGAATCGCTTGAAGTATCGTTTATATATGGTCGAATAATATCCAGACAATAGTTATCATGGTTTGCGTAGAAAAATGCATAATTTACATTTCAATTTTATCATTAAATTTTGTAATTAAATTATTTGCATTTCAATTGAAAATAAAACAACTGTTTTGAAAGCAATTTGTCATCTTACTTAAAATAACTTACTTGAATGTAAATTACGAGACGAACCGAAAAGTCTGATCAAAGCATTTATGACAGTTTTGTAATATACATATTTTTGTACTTTTAAAAAAGGGAAGGGAAATCCCCCAAAAATGCGCATCTTATGATTATAATCATGATTGTAATGATGTTGTGTATCTTCATTTGATCGAATTTTCCATGTTCAACTGTTACCTATTAAATGATTCATTATTAAAAATCAAAACTTGCAAATTTGAAAAAAAGTGTATCTTTATTAACATTTAACAAAATACATTGGAACATGACATTTAATGAATCTTTTTCAATATTCATGTGTCTGTATTAGTGTCGATTTATGACGAAAACAGGTTGCATTCCTTGTTACGGCGATTATTCAGTCCCTGATTCACTTTTCCACCAGCTATATTCCATTTCTTCAGTTCGGTGCACACTTCATTTTTCTTGCCTTCATTTAATTTTCTAATTAAAGTTGATGATGCAACGTTACCACAGCCAACATTGTATGCCCATGAAGTAAGTGCACCAAATTCATTGTTCGTAAGTGGTATTTTCACAAGGCGCTTAATGCAATCAGTTGCGGTTTTGATATCAGATTTAAGAAGTTGCTCGCCTTTTTCTTTTGTTATACATGAGTTTGCGTCTAAATCATCACCAGGCACGATTAAATGTCCATAGCCAATTGTTAATTTTCCGGCAACATCTTTATATGCACAAGCCCTCCATCCTTCTACTTCTTTAATTAAATTAAGACTTTCTGCATTCAAGTCCATATCTGTAATCTACTGTGTAAAAATGCATACTTTTAAAACTGAATTTTGCATCTAGAATACGTTTCTTTTAAATACTTACTTAGCAATAATTTCGTGTTGAATTACAAACTTTCTTGCTTCATGTGTCATTATAGTCGCCTTATATTTACAGATGAATCATCTGTTTTTATTGTTTCCAACATTTCAAAAGTCAAAATAGCCAAATGATTATGTGTTTGGTTTTGCAGGATTTTCTTTATGACTGTGTGAGTAGTGAGTAGTGTCACATAATTGTGTTAATATACATATATAAGAAAAAGAGTGCGTTTAAGAGATATGAACCCACACAATTGTGTTAAACTATTCAAATTTGCTGCAAACGCCAAAAACATGTTCTTTTGACATTTTGAGAGTACTGTAAACAAATTAACTGTTTTGATAACAGTGTGTCGTCTGATAAGATGCACGTTTATTTTTAATGTATGAATAAATAAAATATATGTATTTCTCAGAAAAAATCACAGAAAATTGATATTTATGATTGTTTTAATCACCCAGTTAGTTTCAATGTTGATGTCTGTTTCTGAAAATGGAACTAGTGAATACGCAATGTTTAGTTGAAGTCGACTCGGATAGTACTTAAAATGGAATATTGATTATTTATGAATATCAATAGTTGCAATTTTTTGACAAAATTGTTTATCGACTTACGATAAATAAATTTATTTCAATACAAAAAAAGAAAACAAATGATTTTTAGGCATGTTTTAGAGTTTCTAACAATCCAATATATTATAGCTGATTTAATTATTTTAATATAGCTAAATCAATTGATTATGTTTAAATAGAAGATTGTAGATGTAATTCTATTTTCACTTTTCCGCACACAACTAGTGTGTAAGGGGAAAGTATTTTTCTCTAATCCATTTAAGACGAATAAAGTTCACATTCGGCGTTACGACGATTAACCAGGCCCTGATTTACCTTTCCGTCAGCTTTTCTCCACATCTTTAGTTGGCTGCATACTTCGGCTGCGTTGGCTCCTTGATTTAATTTTCTGACTAAAGTGGAATCCGCAGCGTTACCACAACCAACATTGTATGCCCACGAAGTAAGTGCACCATATTGATTATCCGTAAGTGGTTTTTTCACAAGTCGATCAATACAATTGGTGGCAGTTTTGATATCAGATTTAAGATATTGCTCGCCTTGTGCTTCCGAAATGCACGTTGTTTTGCTTTTCGTAAGACCATCACTAGGCTTGATTAAATGTCCATAACCGATGGTCCATTTTCGAGCAGAGTCCAAATACGCGCAACTTCTCCATCCTTCTGCATTCTTGATAAACGTTAGACTATTTGTATTTAATTCTCTAGCTGCAACCAATGTCACTGCAATCGCCAGTGCGCAGATAATTTCAATTTTCATCTGAAAAACATTTTTTAAATAAAAAATTATTGAAAAAATATATTTTTAATCCATAAATATTAGTGCACTTTTAATACAAACTTTGCAATAATTTTGTGTTTAAATCTTTGTTGCGAATCGACTTCTTGTCTAGGCTATTCTAATTTTTTTAGCTTAAGGTAACGTTTATATATACTCGAATCATCGCATACAATACAAACTAACTAACATACTAGTACGCAATCGTAATTGGATTATTTTATTTATCTTTATTGCCTAAAAAAGAAGAGGGAAATCCCCTCAAAAAAATTTACAACACGAGTATCTTATAATTATATATTTTGATTGTTTTTTTGAGAAGTTTATTATGTGTGAGTAATAAAGAACTCTAAAGAGTACACACAGCTGTGCACAATTTTTGAAATGTATCCATTCATCGATGCACTCTTTTTATATACTTTCAGTCTTAAATATCGTATATTGATTATTTAAAATATTAATACCGAGAAATTTGAACTCAACTTTTTTTTTCAAAGCAAAAAAGCCCTATTTTGACACTTTCAATAAAATAGATAAATAATATATAATGTTTGGCAGGTTTTCGAATGGAACTGTTTGCATTAATATATAACGTTATAAAATTTTATCACTAAGTTTCGCTAATAAAACAATATAAAATTGTATACTTGAAATCACGACTTTTGAACCTGATGGTTTATGACTAGATATTCTAAACTTGATTTGTAGAGATTCATCAATCCATTTAAATAATTTGTAAATCGAATTGTGTGTGTACCAAGTTTATTGAGAAAAACAACGTCCCTTAATACTCATGATTGCATACTCATGATTGCATGGTGAATACATTTTTCCAATTAAATATCGTCTTTATTCATACTAGAATTGAACTTCTTGCACAATGGGTCGGTATTCCCACAACTAGCATTGCATAAATTGGTTATTAACAAATTATATTATAATTATATAATATAGCTATTAACAACAAAAAGCAAACTTTCTGACAAGGCTAATCGTGAAGAAATGTGTCACGCTTCAATTTCAAAAAAATATCCTGAAACTGATAGATTTTTAAAGATAGTTTTTTTATTGGCAATTAATTGTTTGTAAACGTGACAACGAATACATGAATTTATAGGCAACATCGTTATGACTTCGATTTATTGATTTCAAGCAAACTATCTTCAAAATTCATAGGTTCGGGGCGAAGCCATGTCCATAGCCGAATCTAAGTCTACTTGGACTAAATTTAGACATTGCACATTATAGTTGCTGGTTGCAACAAACGTCATAGCCAATGAACAGTGAGTTTTCAACTGAAAGTCAAAAATTGTCTACATAATGTTGAAAATATGTAATTTATAATTAAATTTCATTTAAAATTATTCTAAACGTTGAAAACCGACGTCGTCTTCGATTTTATGATCATGCTTTTTTACTTTTTCTTAATAGAAAAAATGCTTTTGTAGCAATTTTTAGTCTGATAACATACTATCAAACATAATTGAATAAATTGTAATAAATTAACGTCAGAGATATTCTCGAATCTTTTGATTTATCTTTATTGCTACAAATACAAAAGAAATAGATGAACTAAAAAATTTACACAAAACGCGTGTCTTATAACTTACCATTCATTTATGATGGACCCTTGATCCATTACGAAGAAAAGGTGTTGACCATTTCAATGTAAAATTCAATATTTTAATTATTAAGTGAAGGCTCTTCAATTTAATCGATTTTATTTATTTATTTAACTAATAGAAAAACTCCCCTTTGAAAAATTACAAATTGATTATTTCTAATTAGTTTATTTGAATTTTCAATCAACTTTTTAACAAAGAAAATGTGCAAAATGAAGCGAAAGTTTGCAAAAATGAACAGCAATTTGGCACTTATGTAAATTTGTTGTTTTTTTTTAAGAAAGAAAGAACATATGGTATCATTTCAAATTCATTAACAAACAGAAAACGTTTTTTTTTTTTTTTTTCATGAAAAGTAAATCTACATATTTCAAACAATTTGAGTCTTAATTTTTATGAGTTTGTTTCTCAAACAATATGTGGTTATTTCTTTTGTGCACGTTGACGTGTCGTTCGTTGCGACGATGAGGCTTCGGATGTTTTCGATTTTTTCGATACTTTCGACGCAGTACTTTTATGCGATGTCACCGATTCCGAATCACTGTGATCGGAACCAAGTTGTTGTTCTTCAACGGTATTATCTGCCTTTGTTTTGCGTGTTTTCCGCTCTGATGTTGTTTCATTTACCGAAATTTTCTCCTTGAGTTTTGCATATTTTTCGATTGTGGCTCGTTGTGAACGTGTCAAACGACTGTTTTCCAAATAGTCCTGAGACAAAGTGCTTGTTGCTTGATTTTCATCTTCAGCAATGGCCGGTAAAACTGATGCTGATCTAGCGCCACGAACTCGGCTCGATTTTACCGATGATGTTTCGTCGTCTGTATTTGCAGCTGTCTTACGACTACGCGTTGAAACAATTGAAGAGGCTTCCGAATGTGTATCGTCGTCTTTTTTACTTGATCGTGTTGATGTTTTACGTGATTCCTTTTTATCGTCGCCTTTCGGTGATTGCTTTGTTTCCGATGGAGCACGACGTGATCGAGTTTTTGTTTCGGTTTCTGGATTTTCTTCAACTTTATCGGAGGAATCTGATTTTATTCTTTTTCTCGACCGAGTTTTCGGTGCTTCGGTATCCCGGGCTTCGTCTTCAATAGCACTGGTTATACTTTGAGTTGAGGTTGCACGTCGTGTCATTCTTGATGTTTTTAGCTCTTTTTTGCTTTGCGTTTTACCTTTTTTGATCGGTGAATCTTCTGAGCGTTCTTCGATGCTTGAAAGTGTTTGATGTGACACAGCCTTTCGAAGTCGTCGACTCGTTGAACTTTCATTCTCATCAAATTTATCACCAAGCTCCGAATCTGAATCGGTTGATTCTGATTTCGTCTTTTTACGTTTTTGGACTTTTAATTCTTCTTTTTCATCAATGTCGTCTAATCGTTGCTGCGATGCTACCCGTTTCGTTGTGCGTGACGTTGATTGAATACTGATGTCTTGCATTGATACCGATTTAGTTCGTTTACTGCGTCGTTTTGTGTCCTCTTCTGGTTGACCTTCATCCGAGATACTGGACAAGCTTTGATGCGATTGAGCTCGACGTGGACCAGTTGATTTACCTTTTTTGGCCGTAATTTCATCGGCTTGATTTTCAACCAATTCAGAGAGACTTTGGTTTGATGTCGCTTTACGAAGTCGACGATTTGGTTTTTCTTCCGCATCGAATTTATCGCCAAGATCAATTGATTCTGTCCTCTTTCTGCTCGACGATTTACCACTTTTGACTGTTGTTTCATCGGCTTGATTTCCAACCAATTCAGAGAGATTTTGATTTGATGTCGCTTTACGAAGTCGACGACTTAGCTTTTCTTCTGCATCAAATTTGTCGCCAAGATCGGTTGATTCTGTCCTCTTTCTGCTCGGCGATTTACTTTTGGCTGTTATTTCATCGGGTTGACTTTCAACCAATTCCGTGAGACTTTGGTTTGATGTCGCTTTACGAAGTCGACGAGTTGGTTTTTCTTCCGCATCAAGTTTATCGCCGAAATCGGTTGACTCTGTCCTCTTTCTGCTCGGCAATTTACCACTTTTGACTGTTGTTTCATCGGGTTGACTTTCAACTAATTCCGTGAGATTTTGATTTGATGTCGCTTTACGAAGTCGACGAATTGGTTTTTCTTCCGCATCGAATTTATCACCAAGATCTAAATCGATGTTTGATTTTGTTTTGGTGCGTTTTGAAGTTGCTGCCTTTGAGGTACTCGGTTCTTCTTCCGACTTCACTTTGACTGGCACATCCTTTTGTTGTGATGCGCCACGTTTCTTCCGTTTCGAATCTTCTGGTTGTGCTTCATCAACAGTTTGCTGTTGATTTTCCGAGTTGTCTTTACTTTTTCCAGCTTCAGTTTCAATTCTTTTGATGTTAATCGAAAATTCTTTATGTTCAGAAACACTGCGTTTCAAGCGATTCACATCATCAGAGCTTCGTTCGATGGGCTGTTGTGATTTTGCCCGTTTAGTGCGCAGTTTGCCAATTGTTTCATTTGATTTCGCTTCTGTTTCGTCTATAATCGAGAGATTTTGATGGGACATGGCTTTTTTCATTTTTTGCTTAGATGGTGCTTTCGATTTGGAATCGGTCACATTAATTCGTTCTTTTTCCCCATCTTTATCATCGTCCTTTGACAAATCTTGTTGAGAAGCAGCACGACCTGTTCTTCTTAATTGTGATTTTTGTTTGACCTTATCATTGTTTGTAGTCAACTTTTCCGGCGACTTTTTGGCATCATCGTTTGATTGAACTTGTTTTGCGTCGCTGTCAATTGTATGTGTATCTTCTTTTTGCGACGAACTTTCGACTATTTCACTTATTGGCTCACTCACGTCCAAAGTACTCGCAGCAGCAGCTTTATCGAAAATATTTGTCGGTTCATCTACTTCCATTGCAGTACTTTCCATTGGTTCACTTTCGATATTATCGGATTGTTTCTCTGTTGTAACATCGTCACTTTCAATCGTAGATGGTTCATCGATTATGACAGCCTTATCGAGAATATTCGTTTCATCTGTTTCTGGAACTTCGACTGAAGCTTCGATAACAATGTTCTGTTCTTGAGCAATCGAAGTACTTTCAGTGGTCTCACTTACAGGCGCTTCCGTTTTATTTTCAGTGGTAACATTTTCATCGACGATATCCTCTTGTGGTTGATCTTGGTTAACTGTCTGTTCGCATATCTGTTCATCGTTGATATCTGGTTGTTGTATTGGCTCAGAAGTTGTGGGCTCATCAAGTATTAATTGTGGCACTTGTTCACTTCTCGTTTTTGCCATTTCCAAATAAGCCGATTCTTGATTTTGATCACCATGATCGCCATGCATCTCGAAACCGAATGCATCACCATGTACGTCCAAGTCTAACATTTCAGCATCGACCACTCCCAAGTCACCGTAAATCATGTGATTCATCGCTTGCTCTTGGCTAATCAAACTTTGTGCACTTGTTTCAGTTGGTGGGATAAAATCTTCGACTTCTATCGATGCCGATTGCAATTCGATGATATTGTAATTATCAATTTGTTCAAATTGATTGGTTTGTGGTTGTGAACCGCTGGTTAATTCATCATTTATATCGTATTCTATCTCATCATGATGTTCTGGATCTTGTGAATCGGCAATTTGAATGTCATCCAATGAATTAACCGAATTATTTTCATCTTCCGAGCTGCTGTAAATTTGAATAACATCGACAGGTCCAGCGTTTGGCTCATCATCTTCATTGTCGCTTTCTTCATAAACTAAATTTCCTTCCAGTTCACTATCAGAACTTTCCTCGCTTGATATGGTATTATTCGAAGATGCTTCGCTCTTCGAGTCAATGTCATCAAGGTTTACCACATCTTTTTCACTGTCGGCATTTGTTGCCGATTCAGCAATTGCCGGCGGTGTACAAATTGAACTGTCTTCGAGCAGATTTTGGGCGTTAGCACTTTCACCGAAGAATGAACTCGTGCAGTGTTCATAACGAGAGAATTTTTGCAAAATGGATTCACTTACGCCCGTCGAACTATCGACCAAATAGTTCTGTGCAAGCTCACGAGCTGCAGTGATAACAACATGCTCTGTTGTTGTTTCAGTGACTTCTATTGTTGTTTGTGCATTTACGATGGAGCTTGGATCGTTTGGAATACTTTCATTATCGATGGCAACGTGGGTGCTGCTTGGCTCATTTTCAACACTCTCCATTGAATAATCAGCAATCGATTGTTCATCAGTTTGCGTTTCGTTTTGCTCTTTGAATTGCTCCTCAGTGGGCTCGATTTGTTGTTGCTCGATTTTTTCTTGAACTTCTTCAGTCTCTTCGTGAATTTCTTCTTGAGTTTCATCTTGAGTTTCTTCTTGGATTTCTTCTCGAGTTTGTTCTTCAACTGATTTATCAATTTGTCCCGTCACAGAATCCTCATGCACAGACAATTTCTCAACAATGTCACTTTCGCTGCATTCTGAGGCAAACGATGATGAATCTTGCAATAGATTATATTTCATATGAGTTGCATCCAATTCGTCCATTGAATATGCCATTGGTGTTGTTCGCATACTCATTTCGGATGCATCTTTAAGGAAATTCCGTTGTTTAACCGCCGAACCACCATCAACCGATCTACTGTCTTCTGATCCATCAACTCGAATCGATTTATCGACTTCGGTTTGAACCTTCAACGCATTGGACGTAATTACATTTTTGCTTAACGATCGAGACGATGCACGTTTTGGAGCGGTTCGCTTTGGTGTCGAAGTATTAAGCACTGGCTGTTCCGTTACACTGTCATAATCGGCACTATCTTCGAGATTCAATTTGGAACGTGAACGTGTAATGCGTGTTGAACTCATCATTGGAATTTCAGGTGTTTTCGATCTTAATCCACGTCTCGGTTTAACAGTTGATGGTGAATCTAAAACTGGTGTTTCAGTATGATGTGGTATGCGCGATAGATTCTCATTTCCAATCTCATGACTAGTTTCTTTAAGCTCTTCGTTCACCTTTGATGTTTCCGGCGAATAAAATTCATCGATGGAATTTGATGCACTGCTATTTTTGGCAGAATGAATTGGTCGACGTCCTTTGATTGAATTGGGCGAATTGAATGAATTTGAATCGTCATCTTCTTGTACATTTGCTGTTTCTTCTATGGCACCCAATCGGAATTCATCATTTTGTGGTGGAATTGTGTAACAAAATGGTTTTGCATTGAAATCAACCGATCGCCGTGAATTCGCTGTTAACGACGGAGATGTTGAGCGTCGTGATATGGTTGAACCAATTTCGGTGTGCCGTTGTTTCAAAATACTTCGCGTACTTTGTGGAGTTTGACAACGGCTATCGATGCGACTTTGTTTTTCCAGGCGGCTACTTTTTACAACTGGTGTGCTAAGCAAATTAACTGTTTCGCACAGTTCACCGATTGAATTACGTGGTTGGTCATTGTCTATATCGATGGTGTCATCTAACTCTTGAATGCTCATGTTTTGTTCTTTCACGACGTGACTTTGATTTGTTAACGAAGTCAAAAGATAACTATTTATACCAGGGGCATGTCTCTTCAATGGTAAATCGGCCACTGAAAATGAATCGGTACGTTGACGCTTGGCCGCTGGTTGTTTTAGATCCGGATCTGAACTATGTTCGTACGAACTTTCTTTGCGTCGCTTCAAGAGGCCAACATATGGTTTTAACTCATGAATTGGTTTGTGATCATCATCAAATTCCTCTGGATCGATTTCGATGCGAATATTTCCCAACAGTGGTATGTGACTTTTCTGTGACGAACTATTGAAACCGGTACGTTTGGCGGCCACAATGGCCCGATGGAAAACACTGCCAACGACATTTGCATTTGAGTCCACAATGTATGGATTGAGTTGACTGCTCAATGGGCTGGTTAGTTCACAATTTTGTTGCGCATCGACATCCAAACGACTTTTGATCGCCATATATTGATCGCAAAGTTTTCGATTTGTCGAATTCATTGCCAATTTGTACGATGATATGATCATGTCTTGTGTATTTTCCAATTTTTTATGCATAGTTAATGTGCGTGGCTTATGTTTTAACTCATCCAAGTACATTAGCGCCTCAATATATCTATTTCGTTGCAGTAAATAGATTAATTGCAAATTTTCCGACAACAATGAGTCGCATGTGTTCAAAAATTTGCACAAAACTTCACCCTCGCGCTCAGTCAACGATAGACCGAGGACATAGTTCCATTTCTTAAGTTCATGGCACCCTTTGAAGAATTCCAATAAAAGTTTTTCATCGTATTTTGAACGTTGCAATTCAAATGCTTCGGTGATTAGATTGTTTGCCAGTAGGGTTTTGATTCGAAGTGTGGTGTTGATCGATGGGCCGGGTGCGCGTAACGCTTGCAAAGCCAAATTTGGCATATCACGAATCAGCAAAGTATTCACCAAGAGTTCTTGTTGCCATTTCGAAATCAATCGATCGCTTGTTAGTGGTGAAATGAGCTCTTTCAATGCAATCTATTCAATCAAAAAAAAAACAAAAACAAAAAAAAAAAGTTAATAAAAATTGTCTTATTCAAATGCACATGTGATCTTACCTCATATTCATTGTGATCCAAATTCCAGAATGCTTGTGTGGTTTTGATCAAAGATGAATTCAAATTGAATACGGCGGGAAATTTGATGAGATTTTGCACGACATTGAAGTGTTCGGATTCCAAAACCATGTGCAAATCCAAAAACAGATAAACAAACAGCATGTATTTATTCTCGAGTGAAATGCCCGGTATGAGTAAAATGCGAAGCATGGCTTGCAACGATGGCGGTGGATATAGGCCATCACCTAATCCATTGTTCCATTCAGTTCGCAGCAAATGTGAATTGCATTCACGATCAATGAATGAATCGATGTACAAACACTTGCAACTATTTGTTTTCGGTGCAATATTACTGCGATCATTTTCATAGAATCGTTGTCGTTGGTCTGTATAGAATTTGTTGAGTATACGATATGGATATGGAATAGCGGTGAACGTATCATTTCTTGATTCAGGCAATGACAATTGATTCCATACGATTTCCGGCAACAATCCCATATTCAGTAGCCACTGAAGAACTTCTTGATACTCCGATGTCATTCGAATCGAATTACGTTGAGCCGTGAGAGTATCAAAGATTTCATCGGGTATGTACTGGCGATAGCTTGTAATAATCATATTCAATATTTCAGCTAACAATTTCAATTGGCGTGAGTAATGGGCAAGAATTTTTCGTGATCGTAAATCGATTGTGATTCCTGAGTCGTCGAACAGCGAAACACACAGATCATTGCATCGGTCTTTGATTAAAGTGGCTTGATTCCAAATCCAATCGGTGAGAGTTGACAATGTTAATCCTTCGCTAGAGCCACGGCCCATGTGACTGCCATCAGCCCATTGTTGTGCACATTGTCTCAAAAGGCCCATACAATTATATTCTAATGCCATCGATAACAAGAACTCTTGCTTGATCCGCTGAAATATTGGAAAGAAAGTTTGTCATACAGTTGAAAAAACGTTCAAAAATTTTAAATATTTACCTTTGACGGATTCGCATGATAGTTTTGATCGCTGAGCTGTGGTATTAGTGAAGCTTCCAAAAATTCATGAAAACATTCATCTGGCATTAGAATTGCAACGGCACCGGTATTGCTTAGCTTTTTAATGGCATTATTTTGTAAACCATCCCAATGCAGCTTCTGAACGATTGTCGTTTTTAGTTCAATCAAATCAAAACTCAACGAAATTGGATAGAAATGTTCTTCGGGTCGTTGAATTGAATTGAAAGTGGATACTGATTTTGGGTTCATCCAAATGTCCAACGGTGCATCTCCCGCTTCTTCGATTGGGAACGGTGCCAAATAACTGGGATAATCACGCCAATCACAACTATAAATAAATAAAAAAAAATTGAATATTTTGGATTCACATTTTTTCCCCTGTAATACTTACACTCGTGGCATTTGCTCCTTGTACCATTGGTTTAAATCGAAAACCAATACAAACGATGACATTCGATTTGTCCATGCAAGTAAACACAGACTGTACTGTTCGTCTTCTTCGTCCGACACAATTTTGGTCACCGATTGACATGAGATTGGCTTCGAGTCACGTTCATGAATCGGAATTGTTAGGTCTGGCCGACACCATTGGAATGTCTCATAAATATTTTCACCATCCTGATAGGTTTTAGAAATGAACGATACTGAATGCATCACAGCAAATGGAAAGTTATTTTTGTTTGCATGAAATGCCCAAATGTAAACACATGGCCTTGGATCGTCAGCTGGTTCGAGGAATGTTAATTTTACCAGAGGCGAATCGATTTCTGGTGGATATGCCAAGTGAAGTGCATTCAAATCACACAAATTGAAGAGAGCCAATAAACCATTTTCAAGACCGACGACAATCATTTGCATTTGTGGCATTGAAAGTATTGACGATATTGGCGATGGCTGTTCAACTACCGAAAAATCCAAACGAATTCCCAAATTTATATTTTCAACACGTGTTTGATTTACTTGAAGCCGAATTTCATTTTCATCGATCGGCGCAGCCACTATTTTGCACGAAGATTCATCTGTATTTGGACTAAACGCCTTTTGTCTTGAGATTACTGTAAAATTAAAAGTAAATGCCATTATCAAACTATTCGAATATAGGAAAACAATGTACAAGACGTTTGCAGCATCAAATGAACGTATTAACTTTTGGTTCACTATGAGTCATTTCAACGTTCAACTAGTGCATAGTCTAGTTTGATTAAGTATTTGTCACACTCACTTTCTTTGCATCGATTTAAATGTAAATCGATCAAAAACACTTCTCCGGCTTCAGTTCCAACGGCTGCGCAACCATTGAAAGCGCCGAGACAGCTCCGTTTACACGCAGCATCACTAACAAAACAACAACTAGTAATTTTATCAAGAACATTGATGCGATGAACAATTCGAGATCCTTGCACCGAAAACAAATACAATAATCCACCGACGTGAACGCGTTGAACAGCTATGATCAATAAACATGAACCAATATCGCTGTCTGTGACTTCTGCAACACAAGTTACACTGCTTTTTTCATCAAATGTTTGTCCGGCGACTCGTTGACCGGTTTTCAGCGACAAAACCTCAAGATTCGATCCGATGGCAATCCATGCGAGTTGGCCACCACGAATTACACCTCCGAGAAATTCTTCCTCTGCTATTGCAACACCTAACAACGAAAAATAAAATACGACAGTCAAAAAAGAGTTTATTGTTTTGATATGAATTGTAAATGTTGATATTTTATCATACCGGAACCATTTGGTGAACTCGATCTAAGTTTTTGCAAAATTGATTGAGACACTGAAGTTCGCGATTTTGATTCCAATTCCAAACTTTCTGGTCGCATTTTTGCAGTGTGAAACGAATTTCGTGCTGTGCGATTATCTCCTATTTGGTGTTAAATATGCGCATTAGTTTATTTGTTCACAAAGCAACCAAACACAGCACAAACTCACCCAATTCTTGTAAATATAATTTTGGTAGCACAGATACAAAACACACAATTTTTTTTATTACAATGTAAATGTCTTATTTGTTTTTCTTTACATTATTTTCGGAGGAAAAAGATTTTTCTGCTCTCATGCACGAATGAATGTTACTTTTTGAGGTTAGGTTGAGTGGCTTCGCTGAAGTTATACTATGACATTTGTGATGGCGCGCGCAATACCAAATTCCACCATCTGTCAAACTTCCAGTGGAATTTTAGTACAAGAAGCGAATCATACATTTTTTGACAGAACAATAATAAAGAAAAAAGCTGTTTATTTAAATTGTAAATAATGTATCAAATAAAAAACGTTTATTGAGGTGAATAACGAGTGACGAAACCAAAATGCAAGACACAAAACTTATGATATCAATTTTCTGACGTTATTATTTGTGAACAAGACGCTGACGAAATTTATTATAAAATTAAATAAAAAGAATTCTTCTTTTTTTTTAAAAATGGATATAAAGGAATTGCGTGAAGGATTAATTGAAAATGTCTATGCCAAGTGCATTTGGAATAATTTGGATGCAATTGGCTTTATTTAGTAAATAATAGTAAAATAATATTTTTTCAAATAATGTTTCGTTCAAGTTCTAATATGGCTTGATGTATATCAAGTTTTAGAATCGTTTTCGGTTTGTTTGTTTGTAACACACATAACTCATGCAAGGCAATGCACGGTATCAGCTACCTACTTGAAAACTATTTTTTTCAGATTCCTGAGCCCAATCCACAAATAAAATATTTTTCTTTTTGGAAAATTCGTTCAGGAAAATTATTATATTTTTATTTGAAATTTAAATGACAAAATTGTAAAAATTCATTCGATTTCCGTTAAATCAATTATTTTGAACATTTTATCGTATAAACAATGCGCGTGAAGATGAACAAGATTGTAAATGGCGAAAACATCAAGAACACTTATATTGATAGCATCAATAATAATGATAACAATAATCTGAAACATAGTCGATAAGAAGCTGATCAGATCGAGAAGATCAGAGAAGATACCGAATCCAGTTTTTTCCCATATTTTATGTTTTTAATGTTTGTTGTCGTCACACTTTATGTTGCTTATCATAATAAGTCTAACATTTTGGCATTGATGATCAAGGGTCGACGAAGCCGTAACTATTCATCGCAAAGTGACGGCCGAAGAAAACATAGCTCAGCCAAATACCATGAACTTGATTCGAACTTAGAAGAGGCTATACAATCAGACGGTCATGTGCTGTCAACTCAAATTATCTACTAAAATTTGTTCATATTATGATTTTCGAACAGAAAATATATATGAATTCTTTCTTTTCTTTTCAAATTTCGAATGCTACTAGAGATGAGGCCCTATGATAAGTCAATCAAATCAATGAAACATTTGGATTGACATTACAACGCTTACCGTAAACAAAAAGAAAATCGCTTCAGTTTCATGTTTTTGAATAATAAGCAACATTTTGTGATGTGAAAATTATATTGAGATGCATAAAATTGTTTGAACGATCATTAGTGAATGAACGACAAAACTGTAAAATGTTTTTAAATGTGGTTAAATCATCTTTAGTCATATTAAATTTATGTTAACTTAAGTCATAAGCGACTATAATCACTCTCAGTCAATTACAGTCACTTTTGGACAAATTAAGTTAAAATAATTTTAAAGTGACTGGAAATTTTTTAAAATTTACGCAAAATCCAAATGTTTGTTGCTTCAGCCAAACTGAGAAACGAAGCACCAAAAAAAAGACCGACGATGCTACCAATCATCACCACAAAATCAAGATTGCTGAATGATACATCACGCGTAATTCGGCTCATTTGGAACTTGAATGGTTACTGACGCACATCCTGATATTGTATTATCCTTTTCGTTCGCAACTTTTTTCTGCTCATGCATTCTGCAAGTGAGAAAAACAATGTATAATGTCAACATTCAACAACAACAGAGACGATATACCCAATCAATCCAACGTGCATTTCGCTACAAGAATATGATTGCGAGCCGCAATTATGGTGTTATTAGTCGCAATACATTTCATTTGTTCGTAATGCAGTAATGATTTTCATCTGCTTGATTTCCATCAAATGAATTAGAATCAAATATGATTGGCAATTATTTCGGTAATTTGAAACGTATTTCTTACATTCACTCGGTGCAAAGTGTACTGTGCAATTGCAGTGTTCCTTCTCATATTGAACCTGGGTATAAGCAGAACTATAGGGCAAAGATGCATTCGGGGGCCAACGTTCATCTGGAAATCGACAATGTACCTTTCCATCGAAATATCTCTTATGTATACCGAATTTCTTATTTGAGTAGTCTTTAGTCTGTACTCATTATCGTGGTTATACGAAAGAAATGTTCATGAAAATGCGAATTCGGAAATTCATCTGGACTATGAAAATAAATCTGAAAAAGAATATTTTTTTTAGTTTTATCATAAAAATATAATCGAATATTGGTGAATATATTTATAAAATATAACTAACCCAATAATAATAACCTTTCCTTTGAATTAAATCAAATCGAAAATTGTTCTTTTCGTTTGCAGGATAAGTCAATGGCAAGCGGTTCCAATCTAAATTACTGATCAAATAAAATGAACATTTTTACGAATAAATATTCTTCAACCTAATGTCATTGGTTCTTATATTTACTAAAAGGAAATTGAGTTGGGCATGTAGCATACGCGAGACTGAAGAACAATTCTTCTTTTGAAAATATCGTTGCAGTTGTTGTAATGTCTAGCATTGAATTGAATATTGAATAGATCGTCACATTGTGGCCATAGCTAGACGAATTGAAATTGGAATCAAGTACGCAAGTACCAACCATTTCTTTTATAATCTTAACATCCACACCGCAAGTACTGTTCACACAAATGACAACTAACCTCAATATGAACAAAAATTGACATAAAACTCAATTTACCCGAAGTCTCAACCGTCTTTGGGATAAATTTTAGTTCAGATTTTTTCCGCTCAAAAATTTAAGTGCTTATTATATGAGGGGTTCCGAGGAAAAATGTTACGTAGAAAGGTTCCGCAGAAAAATGATCGGGAGCTAAATGATATCATTTAGCAAAGCTAATTGGTACCAAATAGCTCTTCTAAATGATACCAAATAGCTCAACAAAAAAATTCAAAACAATATTAAAATCTAAAAATAAGTGAAAATAAATAAAATAAAATAAAAACAAAAATAAAGAGCCGTCGTGTAAAAAAAGAAATGTTATCTAAAGCGTGTCGGCCTTTTTGTGTTTTTATATATTGGTACCAGTGTTGGGTAAAGATATTAGATAAGATGAGATACCAGATAAGATGATATCTTATATCTTATCTTATCTTTGACGAAAATATCTCATCTTATCTAGATAACTAAGTTTTCTTTCGATATCTTGGTGGTATCTTTAGATCTTTTTAAGATATTTTGACATTTTTACGAAAAAATTCAAAATTTTTTGGAAAATATATCTTATCTGCTTATAAAATTATTTATATGAAAAAATAATGAAATTATCTAGATACTTTTGAATATCTAGATACTTAGAGTTATCTACATATTTTTGAGTATCTAAAGTCCAAAATTTTTGTGATTTTTTCTGCGTAAAAATATCTTTGAAAGTATCTAAGATACACCCAAGATATTATCTTATCTTTGCGTTTTTTTAAGATAAGATATGGTATCTTACCTATATAAATTTTTTGCAAAACTAAAAACGAGAGTCGAGCGCTATCCATATAAATACATTGTGACGTCACACATCTTACACAGAAACGACATCTTTGTAAAACAGACTAACTACAATGTAAAAGTATAGCGAGAGGGGAAGGGAGTAAATAAAAAGGGGAAACAGATACGTTTGATTTACATTGTAGTTAGTCGGTTATTAATAGATGGCGTTTATATAGTGTGCCCTTATTGCGCTTGACTCTCGACTAAAAAAATCTCATCTTATGTAGATACCAAAATTTTTACAATTACCCAACACTGATTGGTACCGCTTTGCAGCGGTATAGGCGTGTGAAATCACACTAGCCGCTGGGTAATTGAATTGTAATATTTATTTTATTACATAATTCGTCAAGATATTAATTTTTTTATCTTTTTTGTTCACATTCACATTCTGTTTTTATATTTCTAAATAAATAAATATCGTTCAAAATGTAATACAATAATCAATATGAATGGGGTAGAATAAAAACTACTTCTCGAAAAATGTTTAAACACGAAACCTAAAAAAAACTTTCAATGAAAAGTGAATCAATTTTTTTTCGTCCAATTGAAGTGAACCAAAAAAAAATTGTTAAATAAAAGTGAACCCAAAAAAAAATTCATTTTAGTGTATTTTACACTGAAAAAACCGAGTGAATTTTTTTTTTTTGGTTCACTTTTATTGAACAAAATTTTCTTGATTCACTTCAATTGGACAAAAAAAAATTGATTCACTTTTTATTGAAATTTTTTTTAGGTTTCGTTTTAAAATAGCAATTTTTCGAGAAGTAGTTTTTATTCTACCCCATTCATATATAACTTGCTTGACCGCAGATTTCGATAGGGACAACTAATGACATTTGTGATTTGACAGCTCGGCCACGGTTTGGTCCCCTTAGTTTAAAATAATTGAAATTGTAAGTTATATTTATTTAAATCGTGGAGAAACAAAGAAATAAAATGCTGAAAAAAACGTATAAGGGTAAGGTAGGTTTGCGAGCGAAACGAGCAGAATTTTTTTCTGTATTTTTGAAAAATTGTATGAATTTTTTACATCTTTCTTCCAGAGTATCCTGATTTGCTGCTGCTCAGCATATAGCTGAGAGCTGAGAAATGCTGAACTCGTGTGGCTAACGCATACGAAACGGATGCACGTACATATTCCCCTTTCGCTTCGTATGTGCTGCCGTTGACGCTATTGCCGGTACAACGGTAACACACTATACCAGCGAACATACGAAGTGAAAGGGGAATATGTATCGTGCATCCGTTTTGTATGCGTTAGACGTACACTTTCAAAATATATGAAAGACTGAGAGCAAAAACAGCACGTCGCATCTCATCTCTTGCTTTCACTTACGTAAGCAAAATAACGAGGAATGCGATGTGATGATTT